TCTCACACCCTTGGGGCGTGGCGCCCCGTAAGGGCGAGAGAGAGAGAGAGAGAGAGAGAGAGAGGAGAGAGAGAGAGAGAGAGGGGGGGGGGGGGGCGAAGGCGGTGGCGCAACGCGGCGGCGGGGCGCGGGGTCAGCGCCAGGGCGCGGGGGCGGCTGTGTCATTAGAGCTGCATCGGCCTGGCCTGCACCGCGGCCTGCAGACTGATTCCGAGAGTCATTTTCATCGCTGTGTCTCTCTCGCACCTGCAGGGGACATCCTATGAGTGCGAGAGAGACAGCGCGACGAAAACGATTCTCGGAATCAGTCTACTGCATGGCGGCCTGCATGGCGCGGCTCCGGATTGCGGGGAGAATGGCGCCAACGCAGAATAAACCAGCGGGAAGGTCGCCGCCAATGACGTGTTAATCGTGGCTAAGTCCGAATGTGCGCCGTGGTGCCGTGCCGCCGTGCCTCGCCACCGCCGTGCAGGACTAAGGGCGTGGTGGTTTATTTAAATCGGCGTGCAGTCGCAAGCGGGCTGGTTATTTGCCGGCCGCGGTACATATTGTCTACGCGGAGTGGCCCTCGGTTCGGCACTCAATACGGTCGTGATAGAATCTCTATTCAGCCCCACGAGTCCGCGAGCATGAGGCGGGCATGACTCGGCCACCCGCCGCGCCGTGCTTAGGCCCCGGCCCGGCCGCCACGCCGCCCAGCAAGACCTTGGCCTTGCAAGCCTGCTCGCACCGACAGCCGGCCGCACTTGGCAGCCCCAGCAGCCCCAGCCAGCTGCTCCTTCCAGATTTGATGAAAACCCCCTCGCGCGCCGCGCACGTGGGGCAGCCGCCGCCTGCCGGCCGACGGTCTCTCTCGCACCCCTGCGGGACGCTCCGCGAGTGCGAGACAGACGCGGCGACGAGAGCACACTGTTCGGAACCGGCCCGCTGCACGCTCCGGCCGGCAATCCGAGACTCCGCGGCGAGGGGCCCTGAGACCGTTTCCTGCTTGCGTAATAATTTGTGAATGGACCCCGCCGCGCCCCGCCCCGCCCCGCCCGCCCACGCCAGATGCCCGCGCTGGCTGCGCTGGCCGGTCCGGCCGAACGCAGCGTGCAGCCGATGGCATGCGAGACGAGCCTTTCCCTTCCTTTCCCCGGCCGGCGGCTCTGGCGGCGCGGCCTGGAGTCTGGAGTCTGGAGACGGCTGGAGCGGCGGCGACCTTGCCCGGCCCGGACGCGTCCTCCAGCGGGCGTTGCCTGCGTCCTGCGTCGCCGTCCGCGGCGGACCCATTCCGAACAGGGCTCTCGTCGCTCTGTCTCTCTCGCAAACCCGCGGCACGCCCCAGGAGAGCGAGAGAGACGGGAAGGGAAGGGCCGCGGGGCTCTCGTCTAATTATTTTCCCGGTTACCCTGCCAGGCGGTGTCCCCGCGTCCGTTTCAACGGCGGGGCGCATTAGGCGCTGCCACGCGGCTGCACTGCGAAAAGGAAAAAGATCTGAACTGGATCTGAATACGAACGCCTGCACGTCGCGGCCGATCTCGAGTTCGAATCGCGACTGACTGGCCGCTGTCAAACCCGCATGTCACACCGTTGGTGCAGCTGGCATGAACTAAATCTTCTAGGCTGTGAGACTGCTGAAAAAAATCTGGACATTGATAAAGTATATGCAATTGATTGGCGTAATATTTCGAGCTGACCATTTTCATTATGGGTCAGGATGAAAACATGAGAGGTTACACTCAAATTCAGTCAACAAAAAAGTCATAAGCTGTAGCTGCAGCAAATAGTAATAGCAATATCAATGGCAATAGCAATAGCTATATAGCAATATAAGTATAGCAAGCAATAATGGTATAGCGATAGATATAGCAATAGATATAGCAATAGTTATAGCAACAGCTATAACAACAGCTATAGCAATGTTTAGCTTGTGGGCAACTCGCCTGCAGGGTAGGCAGCCCGACGCACAGGCGTCTTACACCTTGATGGCTGTATTGCTATTGACGGCCGACCCGCGTCCCGCCCCGCCCCGCTTTTGATGCCCGTTTTGGCGGGGAGTGATTGAGCATGGAGCCGCAGCACGGTAAGTGGCACGCTTCGGCGTCTCGCCTGGCTGCTGAGGCTGGCTGCCGGCCGCCAGCTCGGCCGCCGTCAAGACAAGTAGTCCCGGAGCGTGCCGAGCAAGCCGAGTAATAACTGCATAATTGGCCATTGAGCGCGTGAATCCGACATGCGCACTTTTTTCTTCGCGCTCTCGCCAAGCCAATCAGTTTTTTCTATAATTGAACGCGCAAACGTGCGCGGGCCTGCTAATGTCCGGCCCGACCCTTCGCAAGTCCTGCGTTCTCCAGGACTTCCAGGACTTCCAGAAATTCCAGGCCTTTGGGACTCTAGGACTCCAGGACTTCCAGGACTCCAGGACTTCCAACACTCCAGGACTTCCAGGACTTCCAGGACTTCCATGACTCCAGGACCCTAGGTCTCCAGGACTTCCATGACTCCAGGACCCTAGGTCTCCAGGACTCCTGGACTCCAGGACAGTAGTTAAACGTGGTTCTGGATAAGGACCGGACCGCCGCGACTCCCACTACCGCCCCGCCGCGGCCCGCCGCCCGGCCGCTCGCGTTGCAGTGCCGTCCCGTGTGGCCCGAGACCTGGTAAAGATGGTGTTATTTTGGCGTTCTTCGGACTCCAAATGTACTTCAAATTAACACCAAAAGGACACCATAAAAGCACGCTAAAATAACTCCATAATTACATCGAATGCATTTGGTGTCAACGCGGCGTTATTATGGAGTTTTTTTAGTGTAAAAAGGCTCGTTTTTTCACCAAAAGAACGCCATAATAATACCAAAGCAGAGGACAGCCATAGAGAAAAATGACACAAAGAGAGACGGCAGGTGTTGATCCCCAGATCTGCGACTCGGAAGTTTCGTGCGGAACCGCTTGGCCAGAGCGAGTCCGGGAGGACGAGCCGCACGGCAGGTAAGTGGACGCTTCGGCGTCTCGGACTTACCCCTGAGCCTGGCGCCGGCCCACTTGTTCTATAAACAGAACTCGACAGTGTAGCAGACGTCAGCCAAGCCATTTTAATAACATAAACCTTGAGCCCCTTGTTTCTGACATGACTTTTTACTGATGGTCTGCTACCATAGGTTTGTTTATAGAAACAAGAATCGGCCGGGCCGCGGGTTCGGGCCATCCGAGCCTGGCTCGCACGATTCCAGGACTTCCGAATTTCCAGGCCTGGCCAAGCGGTTCCCCGAACTGCCGTGTCGCAGATCGGGACTCAACACCTGCCTCTCTCTTTGTCTTTTTCTCCAGGCTGTCCTGCTTTGGTATTATTAGGCGTTCTTGGTGAAAAGGCCTTTTTCACTAAAACCATAATAACGCCGCGTTGACACCAAATGGATTTGATGTAATTAGATATTTTAGCTGTTAGGGTCCTTTGGTTCCATTTAAACCGACATGGGGGTCCGAAGAACGCCAAAACACCATCTTCCGTTCGGCCACGGGTGTTCGCAGTGTTGCCGCCCTGTTGTTGTGCCCCACGCCTCGCGCCGTGCGAAACGCGACCCCGTTGCTAATTAATTAAATGTCGGCCAAAAGTGTCAACTCGTTAATCACGCGGCAACGCCGCCCGGTCCAGCAGTGGCAAAGCCATGGTCCAGCAGGGCCGGCCTTGGCATTCCGGCAGTGTCCCTTTTAGTCCTGCTGTCCTGCCCGCGGGGCCCAGACCGATTCTCCGAAAGTCGTTTTTGTCGCTCTGTCTCTCTCGCACCTATAGGGGACACGCCATGAGTGCGAGAGAGACGGAGCGACGAGGCAGCTGTTCACTGAGGCGCCAGCTCCACTCCTGCGAGGTGTCCGGCCTATTAAGAGGCAGCCCGTCAGCGCCGCCACGCGCCGGAGCAAGCGCGGTGACGGCTTCAACAGGCAAGCCAACTGGTGGCAAAAATATAAATACGAGAAAAAATTTTATCCGCAAAGCAGGGCAACATCATGTGGCAAAACCTTCGCAGATACTTTTTTTCTCGCAAATGCTGCATGTGCATGAGAGCAGGGCGGCGCCCTTCGCGCTCTCATGACTATTGTGCATACACCTTTTCCTATCAAGTTTTTCCCCACTCTGCCGCAGGTCGTGCCAGCCGTGAACCCTGGCGCCGTTCGTGCCGGCTGCCGGCCCAGATCTAGACGGACCTTGAGCCCGCCATGCGCGGGCGGGCGGGGGCGGGCGTGAACCAGTGAACTTTCGACTTGTACCGATTTAGAGGGTCGGTTTGTGCAGCCGCCGGTCCAGTGCGGTAGTGTGGGGGCTGCTTGTCTAGACTGCTAGACCAGCCTAGGCCAAGCCGGTGGGACACGCCCATGCCGAGCCCCCGTGGCCCCGTGGGGGCATGGCGGGCATGGAAATGAGTGGAGGGGTACGACACACGGACACATGCTGCCCTTCGCCGCGACCGTGCTAGACCGTGCCCACGGGCCTAGCCGCCGCGGCCCGCTGGGGGTGGGGAGGCCCCCTGGTGGGCCCCTGCCCCTCGCCCTGCCCCCACCCCGAGGGGGCTCGCCTCGCCTGCCGCCGCTGCCGCCACCGCCGCGCCGCGCCAGGAGCCCCAGCCACCTTGTGCACCTCGTGCTCCACGGACTCGGCGGAGTCGACAGCGAGCCGCCCTCGCGAGTGGCACCAGCCGTGTTCGAACCGTGCGACAGTGTGAGTGTGCGAGTGTGTGCAGTTCCGGGTGGCGTGACAGTTTGCTTTGGCGGTGGTGGTCGAGGTGGTGCCGGTGCTTGGGGCTGCTGGCTGCCGCCAGAGTAGATAGTGCCGCTGCTGGAGCAGCTGGTTGGTGCAACGCGCGCGACGCCAACGAGGTGCCAAAGAGGCGCCGCGTCCTCACTTCCTGGCCGTGTGAAACGCGGCGCGACAGGCCCGTCCACCCGTGCGGCGGCAAGCGCGGCAAGCACCTCGCCGCCGTGCGTCGCCTGGCGTCACCGCAGTAGTAAAGACCATCGACACCTCTCACCGCCACAACGCCGAGCCGAAGCCTGCAGCGCCGCCGCTGGGATCTTTCTCCTCAAGCGCGTGTTCAGTTCATCCCGAGATCCGCTTCATGGAGGCCGTGCTCCTCTTGCCTCAGGTCCGGCCGAGGCTCGAGGCCGACGGCGTCCTTGGCGGCCGCCGGAGACAACGGAGACGACGCCCCAGGTGCCTGCCGCCCGCCTCCGCTCTTGCTCTGGACCCGCTTGCCCGGCTTGCCCGGCTTGCCGAGCTCCGGTTGCCGAGATCCGAGTCATGCTGGAAGTCGCGGTGGCAATGGCGGGGGAGTTCCGGGCTGCTGCTCGACTTGGCGGATGTCGCGCACTGCGTGTGTGTGCGAGTGCGTGTGCGAGCGTGCGCGTGTGTGTGCACGTGTGTGTGAGCGTGCGTCGTGTGTCTGCGACATCCACCGCCGCAGCCGTGCGCTGCCACCACACCGCAACTAGTGTTCCAATGCCACCGCCACCGCGGCCTCCACGATGACGTTCCACGCGCATGTCGCTCCAGTCGTCAATCTCATTTTATGGACAATCGGCGTCTGCGTCGGCGCGTGGTGCGGCCGGCCTGCCCCGGAGTGCCTGGAGGGAAGTCCCAAGTCCCAACCCGTCACGGCGGTGCGGACTGGCGGACTCGGCCGAGGGCTCGGCGCGGCGTGCGTTCAAGTCACGGCGTCACGGCGCGGCACAGTGGGCCAGAAGACCGGTGGTGGCGGTCAAAATCCCGGACGCGTTTTTTGAGATCCAGAGTCGCTAAATGGGTTTCAAACTGAACGTGTGACCCCACCAATCGATTGCTCTCCAAACGAGGAATCCGTTGGTGGGGTCACACGTTCGGTTCGAGTCCCATTTAGCGACTCTGGAGCTCAAAACGCGTCTAGAGTTGTGGCCGCCGGCGCCGGTCGTCTGGCCCACTGTGCGCGGCCGCTAATAATGCATAGCAGGCCGATCCCGAACAGCGCTGTCTCTCGTCGCCGTCCCTCCCGCGCGCGGAGGGCGCCACGGGGGTGCGAGAGAGACGGAGCGAACGAGTTTGTCAAGTCGATGCGGTTCATAGCGGCCGGTCGGTCCGCCGCCCGCGCGCTATTGTATCAGCGTGTCGTCATGCCCGCCCCGCCCCGCCCCGCCAGTGCGGCCGACGCTCGGCCGACGCCAAGCGGCGCAGCGCACCCCTCTCGCAGAGGCGTAAGTGCAGTCCATGGCGGCGCGGCATGCCTGTTGTTGTTGTTGCTCTTGTTCTTGGACAAACAGGCCGTGCCGCTGGTGCCGCCAGCGCGGCGCGCTGCTTCGGCGCACGCGCCCTGCTTGTCCTGTGTGTCCTGCAAATAGCGCGGGCTTCCGCGCCCTCTTGACATCGTGACCGCGCTGCGCGGCGCTATGAGTCGCCGGCGTCGGTCCGGTCGTGAACCCGCGCCGCACCACTGTTTTCTCCCTCTTGACCGACAAGGATCAAGGATCGCCGCGATGGCATGGCCGATGGTGGCGCCGGTAAAACATTCGGGGAAAGGGGAAAGCTTCCGGGCGAGGGGCAAGGACGGCACCGCGGTGGAGATAGTTTGACTGTTGACTGTGGGTACCCTGGCCGGCCGGTCACGGCGGGGCGGGGCGGGGCGTGGCGGGCTGGCCATGGGCAGTACGACATGAGCTTGCGGTCGGCGACGCTATTATCGCACTGATTATCGTCAGGAGGAACTATAAAGGCCTGCGCCCGCGGTGCCCCCGACAGCCTGCGGTGCAGCCGGCGGCTCGCCGACGACGGGGTGCTCGGCGCTCGGCCATTGGCGGCGCGGAAGCGAATTGTAAGATAAATCCCCGGGCCGATTCGACGGACCAGGCCGCGACTCCAGTCTCTCTCTGGGCAAGGACGACCGAAGTGATGGCTGCCACTATCGGCCGGCCTTCGGCAGCGAGCAAAAGCGCCGTCGCTCGATCAAGGACGTGAACGGACTCGGCGGCGGCGTTTGATAGGTTACCGCGAGAAAAAAATAAAACGCACCGAGTGACGGTTATTGTTTTTGCGAACGTAGAGCAACACTTGCTCGCTATGCACGTCGCGTTGGCCGCCGCCCAGCAGGCCGCTGCCGAACAGCGCGCCGTCGCGCTGTCTCCCTCGCACCTCGACGGCTCGACCCGTGACGCGAGAGGGACAGAGCGACGAAGGGCTGTTCGGAAGCAGCCTGCCGTTGTAATACACGTACTGGAGCGCCAACACCGGCACGCTGGCATTACAGTGCACCGGCCGGGTCATGCGGCCATGCGGCATTATGTAGACGAGTGTGCCATTCAATTGTGCCTTGCGCCTGGTTCAGGCAGACCGTTTAGTTTGAGGCGGCGGGGGCGGCGGGGGTGGGGTGGAGGTGCGCGTGGCGCAGGGCCTGTTCTACGGCGACCATGATCACGAGAGGGAAGGGCCCGCCGCCTCATTCCAAAGGATCGTTTCGTCGCTCTGTCTTTATCGCATGGGGCGTCCCGTGCGGGTGCGAGAGAGACAGAGCGAAGAAACGACTCTTCGAATCAGTCTGCTATGGCGACAGGTAACTTACCCTCGCGTGACAAAGGACGTACGGTTTTTGCCATTTTCATATTTGGCGCGCCTGGCGCGGCTCGCGTCCTTGAACCACTTGGACTTCGCCACGGAGAGGGTGGGTGTCGTTGGGCGGCTTTAAAAACAACAGAAGGTTACGGCGTCACAGAGACGCCGCGCCCCTACACTATGTAATTCCCAACATGTAACCCCAGCCGCAGAACGGTAACTCATCACCGCCATTTTTCCACGCCACCGCAGGGGTTCACACTTCGGTCAACCTTCCCCGCGACCACACACTGACTAACGCGTGCGTGCGGTTAGGCGCCCCTCCGCCCCGCCCCGCCCCGCCCGGCCCCGCCGCGCCGCGCCACGTAAGGATTGCATCTGTACCGTCGTCAGCGGTAGCGGTCGCATCACTTTCTCCGGTGAAAAGTGCGAGGCGCGACGTCGTCGTCGTGTCGTCCGCGCTCCGCAGGCGTCTGCTAATCCCGCTAATCGGCGTGGGCCTCGCCGCGGCACGGCCGACGAGCGTCGGGTGCCGGTTGCCGGTTTGCCGGGCACCCCATGGGTTGCGTGGCGACGGCGGCGGCGACTGATTAAAAGTGATTCCCTGCCGGTGCGGCCCGCTCCGGTTCTGGTTCCGGCGGGTGGCGCTTCGCTTCCCGCGCCCCACACTCGCATTGTCTCGCAGGTGAATGCCGCAATGCCGCCACCGCCGTGCGGCCAGCCGTGCCATGCCGAGGGATCGTTTCGTCGCTCTGTCTCTCTCGCACCCCTACGGGGCGCGCCATGTGTGTGACAGAGACGGAGCGACTTTGCCGGAAATCGCTCGGCCGCCGCCACATCGATAAGGGCGTTCCGGTGGAGCGGCAGAAGCAAAATGCAATCGCCTCGGCGGACTGAATCCCAGAGCCATTTTCGTCGCTCTGTCTCTCTCGCACCCAAACGGGACGCGCCATGAGCGCGAGAAAGACAGAGCGACGAAGACGGCTGCTGCGGACGGAAAGCTGGATCGGTATCGCCCCCTGCCCGCAGCTCTCCCCAGCTCCGCGATGACGCGGTGGGCCTTCTTGGTGCTGCTGCTGGCGCCGCTGGCCGCGGCGGACCTGGAGGTGATGGCGCAGTGGGGGCTGCTGGACTTCGCGGCGCCCTTCAACTTCCCGGGCAGCGACGGCGCCTCGGCGGCGTCCTGGGTCTTCACGGGCTTCGAGGTGGGCTGGGACAAGATCTACCTGTCCATCCCCCGCTTCCAGCCCGGCCTGCCCGCCACCGTGGGCTGGATCCCCAGGCCGGCCGCCGGAGGGCTCGCCGAGTCCCCTAAGATCCAGGTAAGCCAACCGAAACCCTGGATCAAACCCCAGCAGTATTCGAACCCATGACACGCCCCACGTTTTTGCTTCCAGGCGTTCCCCAGCTGGGACTGGCACGTAGCAGCCGCCTCGGGCAACGCCAAGGCGAACAACTGCTCCGGCCTGGTGTCGGTGTTCCGGGTCCGCGCGGACAGGTGCAACCGGCTGTGGGTCCTGGACTCCGGCGTGTCCGACACCCTCGCCACCTTCAACGTGGACTGCCCGCCCAAGCTCCTCGTCTTCGACATGGCCACCGACAGGCTGGTGAGTGCTTGCGGCGTGTCCTTTGTTTCCCTGAGTGCTCGTCGCCGTCCTGGACTAACGTCGCCGCCGTGCAGCTGCGGGTCGTGGTGTTCCCCCAGGCCGTGCTCCGCCTCAACTCGCTGCTCACCAACTTCGTGATCGACGACCTGCACCAAGGCGCGCCCTCCTCGCCCGGGTCCTGCGACAACGCCTTCGTCTACCTGTCCGACACGACGGCGCCCGGGCTGGTGGTGTACGACGTGCAGAGGGACTCGGCCTGGAGGATCTCGCACCCGTCCATGTTCCCCAGCCCCGACCACGGCACCTACCGGGTACGTCTGGCAGCCTTCTCTCTTTTGAGGGCTGGCCGTTGAAACCAAAGTGAACATAACAGCACGGCCTTGAGCGTCTACTTCTTCTTGCCCCTCCAGGTGGCCGGCGAGTCCTTCACGCTGATGGACGGGCTCATCGGTCTGGCGCTGTCCCCCGTGCTCAACGCCGCCGGCATGGCCAAGGTGCTGTACTTCCAGCCCTTCGCGTCGGACCGCATCTCGGCCGTGGCGACTGCGGCCCTGCAGACGCAGCCCAAGGACGACGGTGACCTCCCCGTCGCGCTGGTCGGCACCAAGTCGTCCCAGGCCGCGCCCCTCGCCGTCGACCCCCGCGACGGCGCGCTCATCTTCAGCCCCGTGTCCGAGACCGCGGTGGCCGCGTGGGAGCCCCTCAGCAACCAACACAGGTTCGCCAGACAAGCATCGAAACCTGTTGCTGCACTGTGAAAAACAAATTGACGCGAATTCGCCCGTCTTGCGGCATTAATTCAAGGGTTTATGTCACAGTGTGCAGTGCGCCTTGTCTAACCCTAACCGCTCTTCTTGCAGGGTGCTGGCGTACAACCCCGCGCTGCTGCAGTTCGTGCTGGACCTGCGCGTGGCGGACCGCGACGCCGGCAACCTGTGGCTCATCTCGACGCGCTTCCAGAAGTTCTTCCGGCGCACCGTCAACCCGCGCGAGGTCAACCTGCGCGTCATGCGGATCACGGCGTCGCAGGCCGACATCCTCAACAACTCCGTCATCTACAAGTAGGCCGCGTTTGCAGTGGAGCGCCACTTCCTCAGCGCGAACTCGCAGCGAGCCAAAATGAAGTTGTCGTCGCGGACCGAACCGCGCCAAGTGCGTGGTCCGGCCCGACGCTTTGCGGCGCTTGCGCTTGCCACGGCCGGTCCATGAACTAGGACCGCCAGGCCGGCAGACTGATTCCGAGAGTTGTTTTCGTCGCTCTGTCTCTCTGGCACCTAACGGAACGCTCCTTGAGTGCGAGAGGGACAGAGTGGCGAAAACGGCTCTCGGAAACAAGCTGCAGGTCAGAGGGTGGCCGCCGTGTATTTATTGTCCGGCACACAGTGGGCCAGAAGCCGGTGGAGGCGGCCAAAACTCAGGACGCGTTTTGAGCTCCAGAGTCGCTAAATGGGACTCGAATCGAACGTGTGACCCCACCCAATGGATTGCTCTCCGAACGAGGAATCCATTGGTGGGGTCACACGTTCGGTTCGAGTCCCATTTAGCGACTCTGGAGCTCAAAACACGTCTAGAGTTTTGGCCGCCTCCACCGGCTTCTGGCCCACTGTCCGGCACCCGGTGGGCCGCGTCCGCCACCGCGGCAGCGCACGTCGCCGTCAACGAGGAACGGAGCTCCTGCTTCGCGGCCTCGATCGTCTTCCGAGGGCGCGACCGCGAGGCCCTGCTACCCTTCACGGCCGCGCCCTCGCTTGAAAGCCATAGCGATTTAGACTTATTTAAATGTTATGTAATTTATGTATATCTGCTCGTCGGAGCAGTCGCCAGCGCCAGCGTGTGTCACCCCCGTCCCGGCACCGGTGTGTACTTTGTCTGCCGTTTTTGCCGATATGTTGCCATCTTTCACTTTCTTCCCGTTCCGAATTTCAGTGACGCAATCTACACGTCCTTCAAACTCACTAGCACAATGTGGCTTCGACCCGCATCGATGCCGAGCGCTATGGCGCCTGTATAAAAATAGTTGAATAGCGTCAGCAATATTGTAAAGTGTAAAGTTTTGTAATTTTTTTATATAAAATATAATAAAACATTGTTAGAAACACCCTCTGGGTCTTGGCTCCAAATACCCACCTGACGACGCCCTCTCACTTCGTGCACCATGCAGTAACCGATGTAACTGACGTCATTTTGTTTTGTAATTTATTTTTTGGCCAGTAAGTGCCAGGTGCCTTACGTCGCTGGCTGCCCTCACGTAGACCGGCCAGTCAGCCAGTGTGCTTGGCTGCTGCTCCCCGGGCTGCCATTGGCAGTGAGTGCGCCTGGAGGTTGGCTCCAGCGCTCCGGCGCTCCAGCGTCGCCACAACATGCCCAGCCCTTCCTGATGTAATGCCGCGACCGCTGCCTCCACACCGCACGCCGCTGCACGGTCAAGGCGGGGCGTGGCACGGCAGGCACGCTGCCCGCACGGCAGGCGGCAGGGCACGGCACGGTCAGGCGGCGCGGCGAGGCGAGGGGAGCACGAGCAGCGTGGGAGCCCTGCCTTAATTATTATCGAAACCGAAATCAGTTTGGACTACATTAACACTTGACTTGGCTGGGAAACGCCACGCTGTCTGCGAGCGCGCTGCTCTGGTTACCCCAGTTAGTTACCCCGCGCGGGAACGCCGGCCGGACGCCTCTCACGCTTGACGCGACGCGAGGTGCTCGCTTTATGTTTTGTGGTCATTTCGCCGGTTAAACCTTGTCACGTGCGTTTCCTGCGCTTTCCCAACGCCTTCCCAAGTGCGCGACGCTCCCCCACCTCCCCCAAGCTGTCGCGCCGCAAGCCGCATATCCCAGGACCTGGACGCCGCCGCCGCGCAGACTGTTTTCGTCGCTCTGTCTCTCTCGCCCTCATGGGGCGTCCCGTGTAGGTGCGACAGAGACAGAGCGACGAAAACGACTCGCGGAATCAGGCTGCTGCCTGGATCTGTTCAGGTGCGGGCGAGTCTGGTAAGGACTAGGCTACGGGGACTAGGCTCCGCCCGTAATATAGGTCACCGAGCCGTGCTGAGCCGCGCCGAGGCGGGTACCGTGTGTTGTCAGACACGTGCCCCTCTAGTGCCCCTCCCCCCGCCAGGACCGCCAGGACTACCGGCGGACCGGGCAGACACGCCGCGGGCTGATCAATGCCGGCGTTTTGCTTTGGGCGTCCACAACAAGTGCGACGTGTCCGACGTGCCCGACGGGGTGTTCCTGCTGCAGGCCGCGTCGAAATTAATGGTGCTCGGTCTAGCATCTCGCGGACCTCGCGGCGCCCGCACGCACGCACCGACGATTGCGCGCACTTATGTAGCACGTCCGCCCCGCGCCGCCGCGATTTCTCATACTGAAGCGGCGGGCCCGGCCCAAAAGGTCGACCATTTTTTAGCGGTGTGGGAGAGCTGCGAGCTACGCCACTGGCCGCCGCGAGGGACGCGAGACAGAGAGGGAAGGGCTGTTGACACGGCGGCGCCTGTCGCTCTGATTTAGACCGGCCCCAAGGTGCTGGAACGGTGGAACGCGGTGGAACGCCTCCGCGCGGCAGGCGTCTCGTCTCGTCAGCGGAGTTGCGTACGGCGGCGTGCTGACGGGGCTGCCGGTAGACCTGCACGGCCTGCACGGCCTGCATGGCCTGCATGGAGCGGTGCCCGGCCGGCTTGCCCAGCAAATACCTGCTCCGCTCTGGTTTTCGCGCCGTCGTGGGTCCCAGCAGTGCGAGCCCCAGCAGTGCCAGCGGTGCCAGGCGCAGCTTGCACTAGGCCAAGGCCCGCACCGAGGCTAGGCTAGGCCGGCCTCTCGCGGCGTTCCTCCCGCGGACGGACGAAACCGAAAACCAGGCCAAAAGAAGCCGAGCTTGCGGAGTAAGCCGACCCGGCCCGGCCGCCGCCACCGCCCACCTCTCCGTGCGCCGCATTTCACACTCTGGTCGCGTGCGGCTGTTTTGCCATGTTTGACACGGCGTCACAGCGACTGGCGTGTTCTGCAGTCGGCGCGCTAGGACTCTGACGCACCGAGCCACGGCTCAAGTTCACCAACGGCGCCAGAGCGAGCGCCCGGGAGGTAGGCAGCCCAACTGACGCGCGCGTGCCGCGGGCTGCCTAGCGTCGTCCAGTCTGATTGCCATAGCTAAATTGCTACTCCTATCGTTATTGATGGCTGGACCACAAATGATCCTACGCCCTCCAGGCCCGACCAGTCAGCCTCCTTCCCTCCTCTTCGCGACAGAGCGTCTCCTTGGCAGCGCGTGCGTCGGAGTTGCGACGACATTCCCACGTAAATGCACTTAATCTACTTGGAGCGGCATGTGCCGACTGACTCTGACGTTACGTCGAAGCGGTAGCAATTGCCTGCGCTTCGTAACATTATGGGACCGCTTTTTCCAATCCGATGGAGGCCAGGCCACCCTGGCCCGTAGAGGTCTACACTTCGAGCTCGAGCTGTGACTTGCGCGATGACGGTTTTATGAGCAAAGACTGGAATTCTTATTTTGAGGCCAGCGCTCGCAAACTAGCTTTGTTTAAAGCGTTCCCGTGAGGGGGGCGTGAAAGAGTAAGGTCTCAAGAGAACTGGCACGTTGCGGGAGGCGTTTGACCTGAGATAGATTGGACGCAGTGCAGTGGTCGCTAAAAGTGAGCAAAGTTCGCAAGTTCTAGAGATTTTATCGGTTCTAGACAAATTTTTTGAGACCAGTGCTCCAAAACTAAGGTTTAGTCAAAGCATTCCCGAGGTGGGGCTGGCGGGGTATGAATGATAGAGTACTAGCAGGTTGAGAACCACTTGGAAACCACATTTTTATTGCTTCCGTTCACACTGATACACGAAACGAAATTCCAAACTACGCCTTGTCAGTTTCTTTGACACTCTCCGACCTCCTCCTCGTCGTCGTCCTCGCGGTCGCTCCACTGCAGCCTCACGCAGTGCACGGTGGGGCGGAGGGCGGCGCGGGCGGCGGTGCGGCTGCGGGGGACGGCGAGGGTGCGGGCCGCGGGGGCGTCGTCGCCGTCCTCGATCAGCACGTTCCTGTGCGCCCCAGCGACGCCGTCGTCGTCGCGATCGCTGTCAACACCGAAGAGATTGCAGTCCTTTCACCTTTCATCGCGATGCGCGATGCGCCACCAAGGCCGGTGAAAGCACCTCGGCGTCGGCAGCTCACCTGTGGCGCCCGTGCTCCCTCCTCCTGGTGACCATCATGGTGTTGGCGTCGTCGAGGGCCTTGGGACTTCCCCGGGGCCTGCTGGAGGGGCCGAAGCCTCCGCTTCGCTTGTCCGCCTTCGCGCACGGCGCGGCGGCGGCCACGGGGTTCGCCACGGGGGACATGCACACGTACTCCTGCGGCTCGGCAGCGTGCTCGTCGTCCTCGCCGTCCAGGTCGTCCTGGCCGGAGCCCTCGTCGTCGTTGTCCTGGTTCCAGGATCTAACGCTCGTCCACCTGACTGCTAGATGACGGTAGGTGCCAATGCACGTTACGAAAGAGAATGGCAGCGAGAGGTTGCGGCGCTTATTGAATCCTTACCTCCACGGGGGAATCGGTGCCGTCTCCTGGCGGGCCGTGGCGGCGGACGCGCGACGGCGTCATGGTATTCGTTCTCCTCGTCGTCCTCCTCGTAGTCCTCCGCGTCGACCTCCACCTCCTCCTCGCGGTCGTCCAGGTCGTCGTCGCGGTGCTCGGCGAAGGTGGTGCAGGCGGCCCAGGCGGCGCCCTGCGCGTCGAGGAACAGCGCGGCGGACAGCGGCAGCGAGGCGTTGTCGCTGTAGATGACGGAGTGCCCGCGCTCGCCCGCGCCCCGCCGAGGGTCCCAGCGCACCACGCCGCCGCCGTCCGCGCCGATCAGGAAGTACAGCAGCCCGCCAGAGGGCTCCCCCAGCAGACCGCACGACGGGCAGGGTGTGGGCTTCCGGGCGAGCCGCCGCACGCCGAGCTCCGCCGCGGCCACGAGCGCGTCCTGGCGGGATGGGCCAACGTTTCGATCTTACGTCCCTTCCACGTCAGAGCGACGAATCAGTCTGCTGCCACTTACGTTCCTGTGCTCCGCGTCCGGGGCGGGGCCGCGCAGGGCGCCGAGGGCCACGTCGAAGATGCCCTGCGCGTCCCGCGGCATGATGACCATCCTGGGCGTCCTCTTGGCCGTCTGCATAAACGCGATGTCCCAGCAGGGCGGCGGCCCGCGTAGAAATGTACGGCTTTTATACGGCTGCTAGATATTTTGTGATCAAAGTAACGCGCAGGCGTTCGAAAAATACCCGGCTAATGTTTGGACTGTGTCAGCAAGATGTTGACAAAATATTCGGATATTTTGTGGACGTTTTGCCAGTCTCTGGCCGACCGCTTTTCGACGTCGTTTTAAATGACCTTAAAAAGATGTCCAGAAGGCAAAGACAAAATATCGGCAAAGAGCTGCCGCATCGCTGGCCGCAGCGGCAAAAGAGAAGCCACCGGCGTCGATCCACTAACCTGTCGCTTGCGAGACAAGAGCGAATCCGCTGGGCCAGGGCGTCTTCGCTGAAGACGATTCGCAGCTGAGCGGTCCGTATACGCATCCACGACCGCGTGGACTCAACCGGTCCCTGCCCCAGATCAAGCCTATGATCCAGCGAACACTGTTGATGACGCGCGGCAATAACAGCTACGTAGCTTTCATCTCTTTCCTCCCATTCGTTCACAGCAGGTCGCAGCAGGTCCACGCTCTAGACTACGTAGCTGTTATTGCCGCGCGTCATCAACAGTGTTCGCTGGATCATAGGCTTGATCTGGGGCAGGGACCGGCTGAGTCCACGCGGTCGTGGATGCGTATACGGACCGCTCAGCTGCGAATCGTCTTCAGCGAAGACGCCCTGGCCCAGCGGATTCGCTCTTGTCTCGCAAGCGACAGGTTAGTGGATCGACGCCGGTGGCTTCTCTTTTGCCGCTGCGGCCAGCGATGCGGCAGCTCTTTGCCGATATTTTGTCTTTGCCTTCTGGACATCTTTTTAAGGTCATTTAAAACGACGTCGAAAAGCGGTCGGCCAGAGACTGGCAAAACGTCCACAAAATATCCGAATATTTTGTCAACATCTTGCTGACACAGTCCAAACATTAGCCGGGTATTTTTCGAACGCCTGCGCGTTACTTTGATCACAAAATATCTAGCAGCCGTATAAAAGCCGTACATTTCTACGCGGGGGGCCGCACTTCACTGGCGCACGGCGCCTCGGGGCCCGCGGCGGCTGTGACGGACACGGCCATGAGAACGAAGGACTCCTTTCGCATTATTGAACACGATTGCATTTCTCATGGTACTGCACCTGGGGCTGCGGCCCTGCCTCCATTCCGTTCAGCCGAAGCTTCCAGAACGATTTCCCCTTCCAGCTGAGCACGATGATGGTGCCGCCGCCGCCGACGTCCGGGTGGCCGACGTAGGCGCGCGTGTCCGAGGCCGTGGGGTCGACGGCTAGCCCGGACACCGCACCGGGGGGCAGGCCGTCGAACTGGCGCAGCCACACCTTCTGGTTGTTGCCTCGCAGGTTGAAGACGACGATCTTGGGCGAGCAGCGCGCCAGCGAGTTGGAGGGCTCCTCGCCGCTGTCCAGCACCCAGAGGCGCGCCGCGCCGCGGCCGGACTCCACCGCGACGGCGGTCACCGACTGCAGCCTGGCGCGGTCACCCACAGCCTGTTCGGCACGTCCGAAATGAAAACCACGACTTCCGCGTTCGCTTCCGCCAAAGTGGTCGAACTCACTCACCTGCTCCTCGAGGCGCGGGAAGGCGCGCACCGCGGCCAGCCTCCTGCTCCGCATCCAGCTGCTCGCCCTGCCCGTCGCGTTGACGGCCACGTCGCGGGGCTCCGGCCAGGGCGCCTCCAGGAGCGTGGGGCCGTCGTGGATGAACGTCAGCGAACCGGAGGAGCTGCCTCGCCTCCCCTTCGCTCGGCCGCGCCCTCGGCCCCACTCCCGCCCCAGGCTCTTGTCCAGGGCATCGCGGGGGTCGCGCCAAACGCGCGGCACGGCGAGGAAGGCGCGGTTCTCCCAGACGGCCACGCTGACGACGGGGGCGTCCTGGGGCACCACGCCGTTGAAGTCCCAGGCCCTCGTCGCCGGCAGCAGCGCCAGCAGCAAACCCACGCTCAGTGACCTAAGGCACGATTTCAGTAAAGGCACAATCCCAACTTATCGAAACTGCTGTTTTGGAGTTGGACTCACACCAACATGCTGGGGTGGCCGAAGTGCTGGTCGCAGACGCGCGCGGCCGACTCGTCAGAAAGACAGGTAGTGGAGAAATGAGAAAAATGCGAGAGCGTCGATCACCTACACCGCCGTGGATATCGCCGCGTGGGCGGCTGTAGCATCAGAACGCGTACAAAAATGTGCCACGGCCATTTTCGCTGACGCACTTCTTCTAGGCGCGGGGTGCGCGGCGTGTCACTCGACGCGCGCCGGTTCAAATTGCGCGCGCTACGGTCGTGGGCGTTGGCCGCAGCCCGCGCACTCTGCCGGCGGAACGCCGCGACAGCGGCAGGGCAGTGGTCCCGCATTCCGCCGCTAGATGGCGGCACTGGTGGCGTCGCGGCGCCGCGGTCGCTCGCGGTTCGCGGGCCTAAGTGCTCCCCGCCGCGCCCCCCGCCCTCGCGCTGCGAACGTGGCGCCGCGGCCGCCGCTAGCGCTGTCTCCGTCTCGCGCCTCTAGAGCGCGCTGCGCTTAGCGCCGTACTGCCTGGCCGTACCCACAATGCCTTGCGCAGGTGATCGAATAGGATCGGACTCGGCGAGTAGTGGAGTGCTCAGTGCCGGAATGATGGTTGGTAGGCGGTAGGCCCGTCGCACCGTTGGTGGCCGAAACGATAATTAGAACTAGAGCAGTGCAGTGCCGACCCCGCCGCGCCACGCCACGCGACGCGTCCTCGGTGCAGACTGCAGCCCGTGTCGTCCTCTCGATGAGTGCTTACAGTGCCGAGTGTCAATTATGTCGGAGGCGACCGCTGCAACTGCAGGCATTATGAAGTCCGCCTCGGAGGGAGAGCTCCTGGACAAGGATGAGAGCTCAGTGGCAGTGAATCTTGCAGTGATAGACACAGTGGACATCGAGATGAAGGACTTGCCCGTCCTGACGTACCCTGAGAGTAGGCCTAAGTTAAAACGTACTTTCACCCTGCCGCGGTTCGGCAAAGCTAGGACCAGTAAAAGGCGAGGGAAGCATAAAGGTAGTTCGGAGAGTGTGAACAAGGACATAGTGTTAAATATCACAGCTAATAGTGAGAACTCTAAAAATGGCAAGAAAGTGTTCAAGATATCATCATTGAAGAACTTTATTAACAAGGTGGTGCATCATGTGTCAAGTGTTGGTGTGAACAATAAAAATTTCCGAAACTATGACTATATGACCAGGAGGCGTGCAGATAGAACTGTGTCACTCTCGTCATCAGATGTCAGAGTGCCTCCGACACGCCCCCTTCATCAAATACCTGGTGATAAAGTGCCTGGAGTCATTGGTCTCCGTAATCATGGAAACACTTGCTTCATCAACGCAGTGCTCCAGTGCCTGTGTCATACAGACATTCTTGCCGAGTACTTTGTGCTCGACATGTACAAAGCGGACTTATCAAGACGCAACAAGCTTAATAGCAAAAAGTATGGTACCAAAGGTGAAGTTACGGAGCAGTTGGCAGTTCTACTGAAGGCAATTTGGGCCTGTCAATACGACCCGGAGCTGTCAACCCAGTTCAAATCTGTTGTTGACAAGTACGGCAGTCAATTTCGGGGCAACAACCAACACGATGCCCAAGAATTCCTTCTTTGGCTGCTCGACAAGGTGCATGAAGACCTCAATACAGCAACTAAGAAAAAATACAAGGCTATAAAGGTAAGTTCTGCCACATTTAGTTTTTAATTTTATTCCTTTGAGGTTAGGGTTGTTTGATAGGTTGACCAATATACAAGTAGTCAATGTGATGCCATTTCATTCATTCAAATATTTCTTAACCTTACTTTTAATACATATTGTCTGTTTTAATTTGTGTCACTATGTTCAAACCAAAAATGTTATGCTTATAGTCTGATAATGTGAACACTTGTTCTACATTCAAAACTTGAAGCATAAAGATTAAGAAACAAGGCCGTCTCAAGCTGCTGGTCTTGGTTTAAAGTAGAGCGTCTGTCTGACCCTCACCTCATACGGCACATTATCTCAGCAGAATTAGTGTTATCTTGTTTACATCAGTCTTGAAGCGCTCCGTCTTACAAACAAAAATTACTTTCTCAGCTGTACCAGCCAAATGGCTGTGGAGCAACATGTATATTTTGTTTGTTGAAATCAAACAGTGGGTCAACCTGTCAATATGGAAGATTTGTTTCGGGGGAACTGGGTGTGATTCATCTGTGGTGGAGGACCGGGGAATGCAGGGCACTTCACTGTGAAGTGGCGGTGGCAGATGCGGTGTTGTGGAGAGGGGGCGGGGGCGGGCCGGGCGGTGCGAATCGCGAATCGGGCCGGAAGCGGGCGGGACGCGGACGCGGGACGGAACTGACAGCATACCGATTCCGAGAGTCGTTTTCGTCGCTCTGTCTCTCTCGCACTCATTGGGGGCGTCCGGTATAGGTGCGAAAGAGACACTGCGACGAAAACGACTCTCGGAATCAGTCTGCAGATAGGGAGGCGTAGAGGCGCTGAAGGAGGACCAGGACTCTTCCCTTCCACACAGGTGTCAATTGGCGCCGCGGTGGGACGGTGGCGGCGTGGCGTGGCGTGGCGGTGACTCAGGTCGTTTAGCGAGGCAGGACAGGACAGGACAGCCAGGAGGACTGCCTCGCGCCTCTCGCCTGCCTTTTCGTGTTTCGTGCACGGGCTCTGGACTCTGGACGCCTTGCATCACCGCCCACTCCCGAGGAAAGGGAAGGGAAGAGAAGGCATGGCGTGATGGTGGTGTATCGCACTGGCACTGGCACTTCGTGCTGGCGGGCTCTGTCAAGACCCGTGGGAACGACAGCAGATCCCCGGCCAGGGCACGGCACGGCGTGGCACGGCGTGGCCTGCGGCATGCGGACCCCACCCTGTTACGCCTCGCCTCGCCGCGGCCCCATCCACGCCCCATCCACGCCCCTCGCCGCTGCGCGTCGCATCGCCGCCCCGGAATGCTTCCCGACAACATATTTATTTGGTTTGCGTTCCGGATCGGACGGGTGTGAATCTGTGAGCGACGCGGGGCTGGACCACCGTGGCGGCCCCCCGCCCCGCCCCGCCGACAGTGCGGTGCTCCGCGGCGGCCGAGCCGCATGGGAAACTCGTAACTCGAGAAAGTTGACCTTGAGGAGGAATCCGGCTGTGCACGCTGCCCTGGCCATGCCCTGGCCATGCCGCGCTGCACTGTCTCCCCGTGCTCCCAGGACCTCTCCAGGACGTTCCAGGGACGCGAGGCGCGGCGGGGCGGGGCTCGTGTCCGGACGGGGCCCCGACACAAGGCCCCGACAGGCCACGGACGAGCGCACAGAGAAGACGCCCCCCGCTCTGCATTCTACTCGGAGTGCGTCCGCTCTCCCCGGCACTGTCCAGCGCCCCGCTGGAGCCCTGCTGGAGCCCCGCCTGGGGCCTTCTTCTGGAGTGCATCGCGCGGGCAGGGCCGTGCTGGAGAGGCTGCGACTAGGCGCGCCTTGCTGAGCAACGGCATCGTATCGAACCGCAATCTCCATGGTGCCCCGAAGGTCCGAAGGTGTGCCCCCTCTCTTCCCTCTCCTTCCCATCTCTTCCCCTCTCATTTCTGGCCCTTCCCCGGCCCTTCCGAGCACCGCGTCGACGCCAGCGCGGTGGCTCGGTGCGGCGTGCCGCGGTAGGTCAGGACGTCGGACGTCAGGACGGATGCGCATTGTCCCGGCCGCCGCGCCCCGCCGCCCCGCCCGGCACGCGGCTAGATAGCGGCCCAGAGGATCAGGCCTGGAATGTGGGGGGGGGGCGTCGGCTTGAGGGGCTCACTCTCGGACGGGCTGGCCGGCAGCCGGAAGTGGACCGACGTAATGCGGAAGGGCCCGGCTCGGCTCCCCCCGCGCGCGCGGCGGCCTGCTCGACTCGCATCGCGTGAGCCTCGGCGCGAGCCGCGAGCACGGCGGCGGTCTCGTCTTTGGAGCTATCGGGGGCCTGCAGCCGGCACAGCCTCCGCGGCATGCCGGCTCTGGACCACTGGGGCGCGGCCCAGTCCGGTACGTGCAGCGGCGGTGGCGGCGGGTACGGCCTGGCGCGGCCGCCACACCACGGCGGCGCGGCGGACCTTGAGACGGTTCGCGGCGAACTGGATGTGGAGTGGATGCCGGCCATGCCGGCGTCGCCGTCGCCATTTTGCGCTTCATTTCCGGCTATCACCGCGGCGGCCAAGGCGGCGCGGCCGTGTGGACGCCGTGCGGCGGACCGGCGTGGCATATGGCAGGACCGCCATCGCCTGACCTTGGCTGGCCCCGCCATGGCCCGCCGCGGCCCGCCGAGCCTCGAGCCCCGTGCAGCTGGCGGGGCCATGTCGGGGCCTTGGCCAGGGCGGCCGGCCGGCCCGCGCGGCCCCAGTCCCCCATTGGCCACTGCATTACGTGGTCCGAGGGGGCCAGAGGCGGCCAGAGGGGGCCTCGCCTAATTTTCGCCGACAATTGCCCCGCCCCCTCCGTCCCATGTCGCTGTCGCGTGCGCGCCGCGCGCTGTGCGCTGTGCGCCCAATGCTGGCCCCCGACGGCCGGCCGTCATTGTTCCAACCTCGTTGTCTTTTTTTTCGCCGCCGCGGCCGCCCGAAAAAAATAAATAAATTAGACGGGGCGTCGGCGACTCGGCGACGAGGCATCGCGGTGAACGACTGCCCCGGACTGCCCCTGTCTGACTTGTCTCGTCTCTCGGCGGGGCGCGCCCGTAGCGGGGCGTAGCGGGGCGGACCGCGGACCGCGCTGCCAGAGGCTCTGCTGGGCTCCCCACTCGATGGTATCGATTGGGTGCCGCCATGTCTGCCGAGCCGCTGCGTCGCGCGTTAGTCGCGCGGCGTGGCGGTGTCTTGTCTTGTTGTGGTGTGCCGTTCGGCTCTTGTTGCTGTCTTCTTTTTCTTTTTATTTCGCGGCTGCACTTGTTGTTTGCTGGGCCAGCCGGCTGGACTGGGACTGGCCGGAGACAGTATGGGGCCTGCCGGGGTAGGAACAGCTGGCCGCGTCCGACTGGCCTGTCGGAGGCACGCGTCAGAGAGGTCCCCGTCAGAGAGGTCCCCGTCAAGTCTCCGTCAGAGAGGTCCCCGTCAGAGAGGTCCCCGTCAGAGAGGTCCCCGTCAGAGAGGTCCCCGTCAAGTCTCCGTCGGAGAGGTCCCCGTCAGAGAGGTCCCCGTCAAGTCTCCGTCGGAGAGGTCCCCGCTAGAGAGACTAGAGAGGCCCCCGCCAGAGGGCAGCGGACGAGTCCAACTTGTGGAGTCTGGAGTCCTCGAGGATACAGCGCCGCCATTGGGCCTCGAGGTGCTCGCAATCCACTCGCTCCAATTGGGATGGCGTTGGACGAGGCCCGACCACGTGTGTGAGTGTGTGTGTGTCTGTGTGTGAGTGTGTGGGAGGGACGCGTTCCGCTGACGATGAACATGTGGTCTAGATTTGACCTTGCTCGGTCGATCCACTAACTGCCGCTCCGCGCTGCTCTTGTCTCCCTCCATCCTGTGTACCAGTGTGCCTCCCCTCCTCCCACTCCCACTGGAGCGTCTGATTCATTCCGCGAGCGCATCGGTGTGTGCGTGCGTGCGTGTGTGTGTGTGTGTGTCGGTGTGCGCGCCCCGTGTCGGTGTGTGGACTCGCGGCTTAACGGACTGCAAAGAAGGCTTCGCCGGGCTTCGCGCTTGCCGCTCTGAATTCGGAGGGAGGCTTCTCTTTCTCTGGCGACGCGGCGGGCTGAGAACAGCCGAGAAGGGGCGCGACGTGACGCTGCAGCAGACTGATTCCGAGAGTCGTCGTCGTCGCTCTGTCTCTCTCGCACTCGGGGGGCGTCTCACATAGGTGCGAGAGAGACAGAGCGACGGAAGTCGGAATCAGTCAGCAGCCGCCCCTCTCCAGCCTCTACCTCTGCTTTTCACGGACTTGCGTCCCACCCCACGGCGTTCTCTCGCCGTCCGCTCTCTTTCTCTGCTTGTTTTCCATTGCCCCTGACGCGATTTGCGTGGAGCCGGAGTGCAGTGGGGTGGTGGGGTGGGGTGGGTTGGCCGGCCGTGGCCCACACCGTGCACCGCGCTGTGCTCGCCGTGTTCGCGGTGCGGCGGCCAACCTTGCCCCAGGCCGCCGCAGGCACGGACGGCTCCATCAGGGTCACTCAGTGATTGGGATTGCAATGGCGGTGGGGGAATGGGGAGGGGGAGCTGTCAGTATATTCGCTGGAGACGGATGAGAGTGGAGAGAGAGACGGCGCTCGGCTCAATCGAACGATGATGCGTCGCAGGCAGGCTGCCCGGGCCGCCCGGGCGTGCCTCGCGTCGGGGTGGGGCGGGGCGGGGCGGGGCGGGGCGGGGATTTGACCGCGGAGCCTTGATCTTTGCGGCACGGCGCGCTGCTGGTGGCGCTGGCGGTGCTCTAGGCCTGCATCACTCCGGATCCGCGGCCCCCCGCGGCGGGGGCGGGGCTGCACACGGCTCCGCGACGCTGGAGGGCACCGAAATGTACGACCAGGCCGCCTGATTTGCCTGGCCCATTCCGGCCGACTAAACGTTTCTTGCGGCGCCGGTTCGCTGGGCGGGCCGTCGTCGGCCGCCCTGGCAGGCCCAGTCCGCCGCCGCCGAGCCCAAGGTCCGCGACGAACAAAGGCACACGTCGGCACCGCCCATTTTCCCCGCTTTGGGAATGACCTTTCTGGCGACCGGGTTCAACGCCTGGCCCTGC